CCACTCGCAATTGACCCTGGCCTTCCGCTTGTCAAATAAAGGAGACAAACAAAAGCTGGAAGCGAAGCTAATTATGTTGCAGCACTTTTTGCTGCTGAGCCGCAGCACCTCCCCCACAGGCACCTGCTGCAGACCCAAAGGCAGGCCTGCAGCAGCAGCAGCGGCAGCAAAAGCAGCAGCAGCAGCAACAGCAGGCAATAGGTACGGGTTCGGCAGCGTGGCATCGGGGCAGCAGCAGCAGCAGCCAGACAAGCAACAGCACCATGTGCAGCAGCAGCAGCAACAGCAGCACCATGTACAGCAGCAGCAGCGGCAGCAATACAAGGTGCAGCAGCAGCAGCAGCAAACCTCGCGGCTTTGGGGTGGTAGCATCCCAAGGGAGATAATACCCTTCTGCTGCTTCCTTGGCAAACAGCTGCGGCTCTGCTGCTGCTGCTGCTTCAAGCCACGGCAGCTGCTGCTGCGCTGGCGCTTTCCTGCGCTGCTGCTGCTGCTGCTGCTGCTGCAGCTCGTCGTCTGAAGGCAACAGCAGCGACGTGTCCGCGGGGTCAGCAGCATACTTGACAGCAGCAGCTGCTGCTGCTGCTGAAGCGTCAGCAGCAGCAAAAGCAGGAGCAGAAAAAGAAAGCGAAAAGGAAAGCTCATCTGGCTGCTCCGTGCCATCACCCTCTGTGCTACTGCTGCTGCTGCTATTGCTGCTGCTGCTGCTGCTGTTGCTGCTGGATTTGGACTGCTGCTGCTGCGGCTGCTTCCTCTTCTTCCGCGTGTCCCCGCGAGGCTGTTCCTGCTGCAGCTGCTGCTGCTGCTGCTCCGTTCCAGCAGCAGCTGCAGCAGCATCCGCGTTCTCCTTGTTGCTGCAGATGAAGCCAACGCGCTCTCCAAACAGTACCCTCCTCGGGGGCCCCTCGAGGGCCCCTGGGGGCCCCCCTGGGGGCCCCCCTGGGGGCCCCCCAGGGATGGGGGGCCCCATATAGCGCAGCGCAAAGACTGGGCGGTCTAGGGGGGCCCCCAGGCGGAGGGGGTGTCTGTCATCAGTGATTTCAACAACCTGAAATAAACAAATAAATAATAAATAATAAATAATAAATAATAAATAAATAAATAAATAATAATTAATTAATTGTTTGTTTGTTTACTTCGGGGGGCGGAGGCGGTGCTAGGGATGCGCCTGTGAGCCCGGGAGAGGAGGGAAAGCCCCGCAGCTAGGGTTTAGGGTTTAGGGTTTAGGGTTTAGGGTTTAGGGTTTGGCACCTGGAGGTGAGGAGACACAAACCCTTGTTTGGTGCACCTCAAAATGTCGAAATATAAAGCAGCAGCA